TGCACGTAACCAAAGTGCTTGGTTGGTAGCTATCAAGAAACAATTGGATTGAGGACCTCCAATGGAAGAGCAGACAGGAAGCATTTCAGGAGACTAATCTCAGGGGAAATGGGGATTCTGAAGGGAGATTAAACAATCCAGAGCCCATGACAGACATGTAGAGTCTTCTCAGAGCAGAGATTAACTTCACTGATCATCTTACGAAATCTCAAACTAGTCCAACTCAACTGACTGATGCATCTGTCTCTCCAAAGTGATTTAGCTCGTTCTAGACAGGATGACTAATAGCTGGTTAGCTGAATTATTCTACGGGCTCCACTGCATACACTGAGTAGCTGTTAACTGATTATGATGGGAGCCTGTGCGGCCAGCTCACATGGAAACTCCTAAATTTAGGTGTCCTTACCTTGAACTGAATCACACAGCAAATGACAACAGAAGTTGGTCTACTGACAGCTTTGGCCTAGAGATAGAAAGAGGATGCTCCCCTCATGGTTATTAATCCTATATTTAAAAAATATTCAACCAGTTAAAAAAGGGGAAAACAAATCCTGAGCAGGGATCAGACAAACATTCTCTAGGCAATAAGTTCAATGGGTAGTTAATTTAAATTACATTTCAAAATCTTGCTGCCTTTTTTTACTGAATTTATGTTAGAACTCATGGGAGAATCAAGTGCTCTCCACTCCAGCCAGGCCAGACACAAAAAGTCAGTCTGTTATGACAGCCACCGAGATCATGTTATTTAAACAGAGCACAACACAAACCAAATAGAGAGAATTCAAACAAACGCTATCAAAGGTGAAATAAAACAAAAAGAAAAAAACTTACAAGTTGCACATAAAGAAAATGTCAACTGATTAGAAGTTCACTGATGCTAGAAAGAGTAAAAGTTTATGCATCTTTTAGCTAGCCTCTGAAGCTATCAATCCAAGATACGTTATGTTGAAAACACACTCAGATCATGAAAAAGAATGGAATAGCAGGCAATTGTTCTGGCTCAGGAGGGAATTTCTTTATCCTAATGCATGGAGGGCTGGATGCATTTTTCTTTGTGTGTGGAGGGAGAGGGACAGCTCCTCATATTGTTATGAAATATCTGGGATTGTTCCATATCTGGAATGCACTCTAGCACAGCTGCTGAGCTTAGGCAGTCCAGAGGAGTCTGAGTTTGAGGTATTTGCCGAGGAGGCAAGGCATGATCAGACTTCAACAGAGTGCTAGCTTTAGCAATCTTAGTTTGAGGAAACTGCTCCCATGAAACAATTTTGAATAGTGAGCAACTTTCAACAGATCAAAGGATTGCTTAGTCATTAGGGCTGTAAAGCAAGAGAACAGGCATTAACCTTCACTCTTGTGCAGCTGTGGCTCCCCAGTGCTCCCAACCTGGAGTCATCTAAAAGCATGATTCGCAGCCTGAGTTAACTGTCAATATTCCCCAAACAGTCCACGAAGACCGACAGAGAGACAGTGGATGTGGCATGCAAAGAAGGTGACGCATTTCCCCTATCTCAGCTCTCAGTCTAAGGAGTCAGTGGATTGCCTTCATGGAGCTGCTGAATCTCTTTATTCGCCACAGAGAAAAGTCCAGACAGCAGTCCTGGACTACACACCTAACCCCTCTAAATATTAGCCACACAAACCTCACCCCTTACTTTTCAGCTGCACACTGGAAGGACTTACTTGATTTATGGGATGTGGGGAAGATTTGTATATCAAAGCATTTCAAGATTCTCAGTTGGAAGAATGATTCCACTCGTAAAATGGTTACCTAACAGCTAATGAGATTTAGAAGAGACCAAAAGGTATATGACTGTGATTGTGACCAGGATGTCCTGCTGTAATGTCAGTAATAAATTTGACGTTCATTTGCAGGAAGAGGAATTGAAAAAACACATTAAAGAAACTCAGGATGTTGTAAAGATAAACTGTGATCTTCTTGCTGACCATGGTGAACAAGACTTCCTCAAAGCGTAAGTACTTTCTAATACGCATTCTCCAGTGTAAGCAATGATCCTGATCTGCTTTGGGCAAGTCTATTTGGATTTCACTTCTATTTTCACCTCACTCGTCTAGCTCAGTGATTCAGTGCAAAAAACATTGTTCAAGCGTCAACAATCATTCTGATGTGATTTTTCAGAGTTCTGATCCGCTACACTAAGAAAATGCCTCAGGTATCAACTGATACCTTGCTTGAAATTGGAAAGAAAATGTTAGCTGTTGGTGTTAAGTGCTGCCAGCTTCCTGAAGACAAACGCCTACCCTGTTCTGAGGGATATGTGAGTGCATTCATTAGTTCTTTCTACTCCTCGTTTACCTTTCTTCCGTTCTCAGAAAGGTTGAATTCTGATACAATGGTAAAGATTCACTAATTTCTTTTATGAGCTCCAAACTAAGTGTCTGCATAATATAATTTGAAGTCTGTTCGTTTTTAATGGGCATGAAAACCCAAGTAGTTCTCTCTGAATGTAGCTTGTGAAAATTTTAGCTAAACTTTACTCTCTCCCAGAAAGCAAAAGTCAGTTTGATTAGGTCAATGGCAACTTGCTTTTGGGAAAGCTAAACAGTTTCTTAAAAGAAAACTATATTTACTAAATGTTGTTTGATGGTCAAATTATTTGCAGATTAAATGCCTGCCTCCAGGAATGCATATTAAGTGTTATGCAAATTACTTTCAGACCACCTTTAGAGCTGAGAGCTTCCGCTTCCAATTATTCTATTGTGACATAAGCATCACACATTCCTTCCGTTACTGTAGCAGGTGTAACTAGTGTTCGTCTGTCTTCCTTTCTTTTCGCAGCTGAGCATTGTGATTCAGGATATGTGCAGGAAACAGGAGACCACACCGATAAACGACAATGTTTCACACTGCTGCAGTGACTCCTATGCTTACAGGAGGCCATGTTTCACTGCCTTGGGAACAGATGATAAATACGTGCCTCCACCATTTAACCCTGATATGTTCAGCTTTGATGAAAAACTGTGCACT